GAGAGAGAGAGAGAGAGAGAGAGAGAGAGAGAGAACTGAGCGATACAAGATTGGTTTATCACACACCTGCTCTGAAGACATCATCCACGAGAGTGAGAGTTGAGTGATCCAAGATTGGTTGTGCGGTCCAAGACAGAGTAGCGGCCATAGCCGCGGAGCTCGGGACACGGAGGAGAGGCGAGGGTGAAGTTGAGAAGGAAGGAGGGACACGAAGAGGAAGACAGACATAGCCGAGGATGGAAAAAAAAAAAAAAAAAAAAAAAAAGGAGGAAGAAGAAAGGCGAAGGAGGGGGAAAGAGAGTGAAGGTTGGCGAGGTAGAAGGTGCTGGCATCCATAGCCGACAGAGGGTTGACCAAGCATTGACCAGAGGGTTGATCGGGCGTTGACCAAAGGGTTGACCGGGCGTTGACCAGAGGGTTGACCGGACGTTGGCCAAAGGGTTGATCGGGCATTGACCATAGCGTTGACCAAGGCGTTGACCGGAGCTGCTGACCATGATTTTTCTTTTTAAAAGCTATATTCTTCTCTCATCTATCTAATTTTTCTTGCTAGTACTCATCTATCTCATCCTCTCACTAGTCTATGTATAGTACGGGGGAACACCAACCAACCCGGATCTCTCCCCAGCCCACGGGGTAGGTTGGCACCACAGGAGTGGTGCGAGAGCAAGGCTGTACCAGTCCCTCATCACGGTGACGAGGGGTGGGCAGGCATTGCCAATGGGGGAACGGCTTGGGGGGCCAACGGGTTATCTCTAGCTGGTAGAACACCAAGCTTGCCCAGGCACGTCGTGAGGCCAATGGGGATTGAACCCACGACCTCCTGAATGCAAAAGCTGGAGTTGGTATAATCTCGCCAAGCCCTTAGCCTATCCCCTCGCCCTATGGATGTGCACTCACCCTATGGTACTTGCTGAGTCTGAGTCTGTCTGTCTCTTCTTTCTGCATTGAGTCTCTTCTGTCTAGGTGATAGTACTCCATGTATGCAGGATAGGGCCTCGTTGACCAAACCCCTGCCGGGCTGAGTAGGGCTAAAGACTGTGTCTGATGACTCGACTGTCCCGGAGGACACGAACCCTCCCAAGGACCGGTACTGACCGGCGGGCTGCTCAGTGTGGCACGGTAGGCCCGAAATCCGAGTTGTGGGCTGCACAACGGGCCGTCTAAGTCGTGAGAGAACCTGTTGACCACGTCGTCCTGTTTGCGACGTTAAAGAATTCCTGAGGAGTTACGGGGGATCTCCTTAAATGCCTCCTGGTCAGCAACATGTTTTGTAGTGACGGTTGTATTATTAGAGTCTAGGCTAGAGATCATAGTTGACAGGGCTCTCTACGAACCCTGTGGTCCATAGATCGAGTCAGTAGGTCTTGTCAGTTAGGGGGAGAGTCTAAGTGGTGAGGAGCGGAACTGTCACTCGGTTGTGCACTTATCACCATGGTTGACACGCGTAGTGGTACGAGCACCTCCCCTTACACCGCAGTGCAGGATGCGAAGGCCGCCGCCATCCTGAAAGAAAGGAGGGAGAAGAAGGAGGCCAAGAAGAAGGCCTTGATCGAGGAACAGGCGGCGAAGATGAGGAAGATTGAGGAAGAGATGGCCAGAGAGAAGGAGAGTCTAAAGAGAGAAGAGGAAGCGAAGCTCAAGGTGGTAGAAGAGGAGGAAGAGGAGGAAGAACAGCCACTGGAAAGGCGAAGGGCAGGAGGACAAGGTGAACCTAGTGGCATAAAAGAGGATCAAATGGAGAAGAAAATTATAGAGTGGGTTGCTGGATTATCCCTTGGAGAAGATGAGGAGGCCTTAATGTGTGTGCCCAGGGAAGAATAGGAGACGGGCTTGAAAGAGTGGGATGCTGAAGAAGATCCACTCAAGCGACATGTTTTGGAAGATGAGAAAAGGATGGAGTGGAAGTTTCGTCTGACAAGGGAGAGGAAAAGAAGGATGGAGGCGGCGAGAATTGTCGTGCGTTCTATACGATTGAGACTCAGGGACTTTGCACGGGAATTGGCGACTCAGGTGGGCTCCGAAGTAAGGACCCGCCTAGAAGGCACAAAGCGATACTGCACCGACGCCATAGAAGGCGCCAGACTGACCGCTCCCAAAGAGGAGGAAACACGTCCCCGTAGGGAGCCTGTCAAAGTTAAATTTCCCGATTCCTACAGCGGGAAGGAGGAAAAATTTGACAATTGGGAGGCCAATGTTAAGACCTACGTGCATCTGCAAAAGGTCTCCCCAGATGAGCATGTTCTAATAGCTATTCACGCCCTGAAGGAAGAAGCCGCCAGTTTCGCCCGTTCCTTGGTTCGCGCTGCTAATTCCAATGATGATCTAGTTGCTTATTCTGTGTTTACTCTCCTCGCTGATTTTCTTAAATTATTGCGCGAATGATTTGTAGACGTTTCGCGCAACGTCAAAGCCTCCGACAGGCTGCAAACCATCCACTCTCGTCAGTGCAAGAGTGCCAAAGCAGTCAAAGGCGTTATAGACGAGTTAGTTGCAGTTCCTGACCACGGGGTCACAGAGACCCAGTTGGTCAACCTCTTCAACCGGGCTATGCCCGAATCGTTGCGTGGGCACTTCTTCGAGAAGAGCCAGCAGCCCACCATGACCTACGACGCATTGAGCAGGGAAGTTGTGGCGTTTGAAGCAACGTCCATGTCAGTCTCCACTTTCTGGCATAAGGACCTGGACAAGGGGAAAAAGTGGAAAGGTCGCACTATCTCAGGACAAGTTAAGACCAAGGATCGCTTGATCCTCACGTTA